ATATATATATATATAATAATATATATATATATATATATATATATATTAAATAAATAAAATAAAAAAAATATATATATATATATATAATATCATAAAAATACATAATTCTGCATCGTTCTTTTTTTGCAAGTTTCAATCTTGCATTTTTGTAAATTTTACCTTCTTTTTTTTTGTACAAAGTTACTAAAGCTGCAAGAATGTCACACAAAAACTTGCCTAATTATTACAAAAGTTTTACCTTAAACTGCTTTAAATTAATAAATTAGCAACATTTTACAAGTAAATCTAGTAATAATCATTATTTTATGTATATGGATGCATAATTAACACATTATTATGACGTAAGCATAAAATGTCTAAGAATGCATTCGTCTATAAATAGAAAACACATAAATTATCGATCAACCAATTTAAAGCAATTCCATTTCCTCTTCAAAGCTTTCTAATTTTGGAAACATTAACCAATTGATTCGAAATCCTTTACGATGCTTGAGTTTATATTCAGTTTAGAAAAAAGTTATCAGAATCAGGATAAAATAAGCAATGTATCCTGAAAAGAAATAAAAGGAATATCTGGACGTAGTATCACTGATCCTCTCATACCATTCACCTAAATTGTAATTTGTTTAATTATTCGAGTTTGGTAAGGAATTTGATTTCCAGCATGGATATGTCGAATCAAGTTCAAATGTGAAAAAATTAATGAAAAAGAAGATAAGGATTTGACATTTGAAGTTGTGTATGAATCAAATTCTACTTTAAAAAAGATTTTATTTATTTTTTTGAAACCATAAAAAAAGAATTCAAAATATAAAAAAATCCTTTAAACTAATGATCACGAATGATCATGAGCATTTATACGTCTGAAAAAAACGTCAAGCTAATAGTCATTTTAACTTCAGGTTACTCTATCTCTTCAAGTTTTCCATTTTTTTTGTTGTAAAAAATTTACCTATATTTAAGTTTACATTAATTTATCACAACAATAGCTACAGAAGAAATATTCATCCATATGTTATGTATTTGAAAATATATCACGTACATGTGTACGTGACATTATATCAACGTGACAAAAGTTGTAATACTGTTAATACTGAAAGAGAGAAAAAAGAAAGAAAGAAAAGATAAAACATACTATCAGCTTAGTCGTTAACAAATCATAATCTGAAAAAAAGAAAGAAAAAAAAAAGGAGAAAAAGCTTTGCTATTTTTAATTGGTATTTATAATTGATAGTTTTAATTTATTTCATCGTAAATGTTACTTTTATTATTATTTTTTTTCTCAATAACAAGTGAAAAGTTTTAAAAAAAATATCTGTTCTTTTTTTCGTTTTTATTTCAAAAATTTTCTCAAAATTTTGAAATATTTTATTGGTTTATTTATTGCCTTTTTTTTTTTTGTTTTCATTTTGCTATTACGAATAGAATAATATATATATATATTTCGTGATACATTCTAATTGAATAGTAAGAAGAAAGCAACAAAATTAAATTAGTTCTCGTTCGTGCTAAAAAAATAAAAAAAAAAATCAAGCATGGAAAGAAATAGGCATAATTAATGCAAGGAAATGTTTTATTTATTCTTCGTTTCATTGAGTTTTAAAAACTTTGATCGTTGAATTTCAATTAATTGCTTTTATCATTCAACTACCGTTTTTTTTTTTCAAACTATGAAGGAAATAAAAAAAAAAAAGAAAAAAGGGGAAGAATAGGTCTAAAACGTACGGAAAATATGTTTAAAGATCGGATAGTTTTTTTTTTTTTCTTTCTTTTTTTTCCTTGAAAATTCATTTAAAAAAAAGCATAAAAATTATTCTATCCCTACATAAAGCCCTGTTCAGTTTTATTCAACTATAGAGGAAATTTTTTTTTTTTTTTGCAACATAAAACTTTCTTACATCCTGTCCAGTTTTATTTGACTATACAAAATCCTATTACATTTTTGTTCTGTCCGGTCTTAATTAGCTATGGGAAAAATTTTTTCTTTCACATCGAACAACACTTACCCATTTGTTTTAAAACTAGAAGTGATCAATCAACAAGTGATTATTGGAAAAAAAATGAAGTAAAAAAAAAGTTTAATAAAGATTACATTTATTTATGTGAGATATCACAGTATAATGCAAAGAATTAACTTAATGTCATCTTGAAAAAAGTTGGAATTTCATCTGTTTGCCTTAAAAAGAAATGGACATAGCTATGTGAAATATATTAAATGAAACGAATATTGTCATCTGAAATGTCTTGAAATAAGCAAAAATTGTCATTTGTTTGTTGCATGAAATGAAAACGAAAGAAATTGTCGAAATATTAAATCAAAATATGAAATACTTATCTATACTTGAACATTTATCCATCATTACTTCCATTATACCTTTTCTATTTTACTGAAAACATTATTCATTCATTTCAACCTTATTGTTTGAACATGTAGAAGTAAAGCATCATGAATTAGATTTTTTCAACGAATTGATTACAGGAACAAAATATTCAACATTTTCTACTGCTACACCAATTTCCAATCATGGAAGGAGTAACATTTAATAGAAATACATATAGATATAACTTGAATAATAGGAAGTGCTAAATCTGATCCATGAATGAACGCTGTGATTATTGCAAACGTAGAAGTTAATTTAAGAATTTCCAAAATCCCATATTTTAATGAATAAGTTATCAAAAAGGAAAAAATTCCCATACACTGAATTCTGAAATTTCAAGTATTTAATTTTAAATAAAGAATTTTGATATTGTTAGATAAAGAAGCATGAACATTTTTAACATAGAACTTCATTTGAAATATCGGAATTTGCATAAGTTATGTTAAGAAAAAAAAAGGAAAAGATAAAATAGGAATGACTTTCCATTGGGCGAAAAAGATCACAGCAAATAGTTTGTATAGAAGAGAAGTTATAGTGCTGCAACAATCAGCAGTATTCTTAACATAGCACTTTTTCAAATTAACAAACTTCGAGCAGAATGTTATAAGCAGGCTCCGAAAATTCCCGCCAATTCCAGGCTCACAAGTATGAGCCTAGTATTAGGTTACGGTAGAATGGCAACTAGATCTATTCGTTTATGTTATGGTTAAATTTCAAGTTCAGATTTTTCTAATTCTTAAGTTTTCGTATAAGGTTTAATCATTTTGTTGAGAAAAAACGGGAAAAAAAGAAAAAATCCATCAACAAATGGATATTTCTTCTACTTTCGATGAAAAATATTGGATGAAAAAGTGAGCTAAACCACTCAAATGCTAAGTTCCTTGAGCTTAATTAGTCATTAAAGTTACTTAGGCTTAATGAGCTACTCAAATTATTTAAGCATAATTAATCATAATCGTATTTGATTGTTTGCTTAACGAACAATAATGCTTACATATATGGCAATAAATGGCAATGATACATTTCCAAGATTTTAGTAACTCTGATGAATGACCTTAATGAAACGTAAGCCAAGAAGAATATGCTAGACCTGTTAATGAATGTGATATTTCCTGGATGAACTCTCGGGAAATTTATAGCGATACAGCACTTTTTAACGATACGCCGGGAAGAAACATGCTGATTAAATCACTCCATAAATTCTAAATTCGCTGATCAAATTTTTCATATTTCCCAGCATTCTTCCTGCACACATTATTATCTTCCCAATTTACATCATACTTCCATCATACTTCCAGTGCTATTTTGCCATTGATTGTCATTGTTTTGAATTGTTCACGTTGAATCACATGGAAGGAACATCTAAAGGAAGCATTTTAAAGGAAGTCTAATGGAAATAAATTGCATATTACATCCTGTAGTATGTATGTAATTACCCGTTTTATATGTATTCATATAAAAAATGTATGATAGTTACGATTTATTGAGTGTTGAGGTGAGCAGAGAAATGAAAGTGGTTTAAATAGATACTGAATTGTATTTTGTTCCCAAATGTTTCGAAGCCAAGTTTTAGCATTTAGGTGAGGTCTTTAAACACAAATTCAGTGAATACTATTGATTGATTAGCTTTTTTTTTGGGATAGGTACGATTCCTAGTAGTGTTTTTTCTGCAGTTGATTATTGCTTCTGTTCCTGATTATCGTCTCCCGATATTTACCTTAAATCCTTTTCGATTGAGCCTTCCATTCTGTTAGCTACTCTTTTCTTTCCTGTTACAGCTTAACTACAAATCTCAAGATCAATTATTTTGTAATTTTTTTATTTATCCCTGCCTCAGCTCTTTTCTCTGATTTGATAATGTGATTTGATAATCAGCTTATTAATCACATCACATCACATTTGCTGTGTTATGCTCACATTTCATCTTATTCTGTATTCCGAAATCATCCGATTGGTATTTCATCCTTACTTTTCAACTTCTTTTCCTGCCATTGCTCTCATTGATGACTACAATCAGTATCTGAAAAAATGACTCTAGTAAGCTAGAATTGCAATTAATTATATCAATATTTATTGTCATCTTACGTGATTTTGTTTTAGTCATGATTTTGTTTTAGTCACCAGTAAGACAGTAAACAGTTTTTTTTAACTTAACTTGGCATTAATTGAATATAGAATTCAACTATATAAATTAACGTGTAACTGAATATCTAAATATTCAATATTATACATTACATATGCGAGGCATTTATATTCCACGTTTATTTGTCGACACTGTATCGATAATACAGTAATTCAAATTGGCTTATTGTCAGGTGTCATTCCAGACAGTAAGGCTTCGTTGGAGCAGAATGGAGCAGCAAAAAAGTTTCGAGGATGCTGCTTTTGAATTGTTTAGAAAGTTGGTTCTGTTTGCAAAATAAAAGTGTTTTTGTTCGATTTATGAAATATTGTTACTTATGTATTTGACAAAATAACGGTAGCATTAGCCCACAAGTTTACTTATTCACTGTTTGCATATGATAAATACTTAACATGAATCCAATTTTAGCCTTTGTCCCGAGAGGAATTTCAAACGAGATGAGATACCATATCAGACAGTTAGAGAAATGGTCGAAAAGTATTTCAATAACATGGATCCAGAAAAAAGACAACTTCTGGAGGCTCGTTTAAGAGGTGAAACTGAACAGGGACCAAGTGGTAATTTTCCTGTAATTTTCTCAATTGTTATTATTCTAAGCTCTATATCTTAGAAAAGCAATCTAGTTTGTGTGGCCAAAAGCAATATACGAAAGGATGGATGGTCAGCTGCTTCATTGTTTCGTTTAGGTAACCGTTGGTTGAGCAATAGATAGTTGTACCTAACTTTAATAGCAGCTCTTACTTAAAGTTATTAAAAATTTAATCTTAGCACACAATAAATGGATGCAGAATTGTTGCTATCTGAATGGGGTTTTTAAGAAGTTTTTGAATCAACTTCCCAAAATTAATTTCAACCTACTCGAAAGGATAAAATTAGTGTTTCTAGAAACTAATTCAAAAGTGGATAGCCGAGGACCATCTCCGAGCAAACCAAAATCGGTATCGGAATATCGGAACCTTCTTGTTGCGGATAGGCATCATTTGCTTCCTAAGTTGGAAGATTTCAATGAAGCTCAAAAAATTCATCTCAAATATCCGAAGAATGTAAGGAAATTTGTGCGGGCGCGCACAGAACGTAGGCTAGCTGCAGAATCGAATGATTACGTCAATATAGGTTTTAGTCTTTCAGTATTTTTAAGGCATAAAAATTCCGATATTTAAAAGCTCCAAGATTTTTTCATTTTCAAAAGACATTAGGTTTTAACTGCAGCAGAAAATCCTCGAATTTCAAACATGTCGGTGAAGTCTGCAATAACTCTTGGTCGGAACTGGATACAGTTTTATATATTCAGCACTTTTTTTCCTTTTTTTGTGATGTATATCTACCGACAGGCAAATACATTGTGCAAAGAAATTACCGTTGCAAAATTAGAATGCATTTGAGATTATATATTTTATTTAGTTTGTGATGAAAAGAAACTGCCGGAAGTCTTCCTGCCTATCTACGATCAGATTCTGCGGAAGCGAAGAAATTCGTTGCAGTGTTATCACATGATTATCAATACTTTACATCACTATTTTATGCGTATAACTTGGTCGGATCTCGTGTGGGTTAGTGACCTCAAAATTTTTGATTTCACAACTTTTTTTCGGCAGGGAGAAAGTTTTTTCCCTCTTAAAGTACATACTGCAGTATATATATATATATATATATATATATATATATATATATATATATATATATATATATATATATATATATAT